AAGAGAAGTGACTTTGGATGATAACATTGATAGCTGCATAGCGGATGGGCTGTGTAAGGATCACTGCTGGAATAGCAGAGTGCTGGGTGTGGGAACCAGAGGCTCGAGAGGAGCCTTGTGTTTGACCAAGTACCTCGTATGTGGCAGGCATTGTGGCGCAAGCTCTGTCAAGGCGGGGTTTGTCCATCTTTTTGGTTATTTATTGAGTGACACGAGTGAATGGATGAATGACCGTATAACCAGTTCTTACCCTGCTTTCCAGGCCCACCCCTCTTCCTAGCAGCTTTTAACTCATGTCAATCCAAATGTCACTTTCCAAAGTAGACCATTTTGAAAATGCTCCAAAATTTAATTTTTTATTTTTAGACCATTTTCATTATTTCTCTGGCCATGTATATTTGTAAGTACAACAATTACAAAGATCTGTTGAATGCAAAAAATCGAAACATGCACACACACACACACACACACACACCCCTCTGCATTGCACTTTTTATTTAGTGCTCTGTGTATTTAAATCTGTCAGTGCCTCAAAGTGCTGAGTTAGAAATGAGAAGACCCAACAAGGTAATACATAAACTTGAAACAGCTCTTAGGGGAAACAAAACTATCATGAAACAGAAAATAAAAACCAAAATAACATTTCATTCCCAAATGAATATAATTGAAATGATCAGTGATTTTATCTTACTTTTTTAACAGATTTATTTATTCATGCATACAAGAAGCAGGGTATAGGCCAGATGTGTGGGGTGGTGAGAGGTTTCACCAGAGACAGAGCAGGGAACAGAACAGGCAGACCGACTGAAATACACTGCTGAGGGGAGCTGTGGGCGAGACAGGAGAGGTCTGCTATGCCCTCTGGGTATCTCCCCACTGGCCGGGATTGAACCTGCACTGCAGAGGCTGTGGACAGCTTCACAGTGCTGTGCTCAACTCCCTGCACTACCAGGGAGGCCCTATGATCAATGATTTTAATAGTTACATTTTATTAAGTTACTGGAATGTATCAGAACTGTGCCATTCTCTCATTCAAGCCTATAGCAAAGGCATGTGGTAGGCTCGGTAATATTCTTATTTTATAGAAATGTTTTGAAGGGATTTATAATTTCCCCAATGGAGAGTGTGTGGCAAAATTCAGACCCAAGCCGGGATCTGTCTGCCACCCACACCTGTCCTATAGAGACAGCAAGTCAAGGCCCCTTGAAAGCATATTTTAAATGGAAAACTTCAGCCTTGGAGAAATAAAAACTTGGCAATTTCCAGACATATTGGACTTGATTTTAATATTGCTGAAGTGCTTTTTTAAAACTGTTTTTTGAGGACCCTCCCTGGTGGCTCAGGAGGTTGAGTGTCACACTGTGAAGCTGTTTGCAGCCTCTGCAGCATGGGTACGATCCCGGCCAGCCGGCGAGAATCCCACATGGCATGGCAGACCTCTCCTAGTCTTGCCCGCTGCTCCCCTCAGCAGTGTGTTTCATCAGTCTGCCTGTTTTGTACCCTGTTCTATCTCTGGTGAATCCTCTTAGCCTCCTGCACATCTGGCCTGTACCCCAGCACTTGTATAAATAAAAAAAAAAAAAATAAGTAAGAACTGTTTTTTGAGATTTGGAAGAATGACTGAGTCTTTAAACCCATCATGTTTGTGGCAGCAAACTGAATTAAAATGAATGTATTTCTTCTTCTCTACATCAGGAATTATTTCACTGTTTTCTCTCTCACCTTACCTCCAAGGCATCTCCCATACAAATAACTAAATTTTGGGGACAGGTGTGGTCTGGTTGTTTCCAGCCTTGACTGTAGATCCAGCATCTGCAGGAGCTTTTTATTTTCTTTCTTGTACTCTTGTTAATATTTAGGGTAAAACAATTCAGAAGCAAAGTGGAACAGCACCAAAACCAGTACTAGCTTAAGTACACTAATGTAAGTATGTTACATTGACATTTTCATTTTATCCTAACATTTTTGAGTCAAATATTAGCAAAGTGGGGAGCGAGTGATTGTTACTTACCAATGTTGGAAGTGGAGACTCTCCCTCCTTTGCTCCAGTCGGCCACACTGCCTCCTTTTATTGAAGACAACAAAACCATGTCCAAATAACCCCAATGGGAACCACTCACATTAACTGACATGCTCTTGGTTTACTGCTTCAGGTGGTAAAGCTCATTTAGTGGATAGATTCCACATGTTTATTGTTTCTAAATTTTCACCAAATCAATCTCCAATGCTAGAGGATGGACTGAAGTGTTATTCAATTGATGTTATAAAAAATTGATTGTACCACAGAGTCATCACTCGCTGAGGCAGTCCAAGATTATGCAGCTAAACCTGCAGAGAAAATACTGTGGAAATGTCAGGTAGTTGATTAATAAAAACATTCTGTTAACCTGGATTTTGTGGTGAGTATAGTATTAATCACCTTTTTGAAATTGTTCTTACGTATTTACTTGCTTATCTAGGTATAATGTATATTTACTTGCTAGGTATAACGTTTTCTGTTTCTTCAAGAGAGCTCTCCGAGCCATTGGGCCTCACAGAATAGGACCTGTTCCTTAGACAGAACGTGGGTCATGTTCATGATCTTGGTGTCCTGACATCACGTTTTACCCCAGGATCCACTCCAGAAGTAGAGGCAACATACAGCTTCTAGGGGGCCACTTGTCATCCTAGAACTAGGTCACAGTCACTGTCTTCCCAGTGTATGTCAGTGCCACACTGTCCAGGCAAAAGGAGACTGGGATTGAGCAGAAAGTAAAGGATATTTCAGGTACTTCTCCTTTATCCCCACTTGTTTTCAAAAAGGAAACAGTCAAAATATAGTCATAAAAAGCAATTGATGTAACAGGACTGTTGGGAGCATCTAACATTATCTCCTTTGATGGCTGTAGCAGTAGAATTCAACCTTTTTTGTTTTTTTTATGTCAACATATATTTTGGCAAGTGCCCCTTAAACATCAGTATACCAAAATCGATGGCATTTAGCTTATTCGAAGGTGACTTACTCAGCCACTGCAGCTTTCAGGGAGATACCTCATAGCTAAGGATAATGTGGAAGAAGATGGTCAAAACTCCACTAATTAAAGCAGGTGCCTTTGACCCTTGGGTGAGCCACAGAGGGGTTTACTCTTAATTTAGACTTGCTCCTGTTACGTTTGGTTATATGCTTGCCTGCCATTATGTGTAAAGAAATGGAGATGAGGGAGTGAGGTGTGGCAAAATGACTGTGGATGTGAGTGAGGAAGAAGGAAAGCTATGAAAAGAGGACACAGGGACGTAATAGGAACGGGCTGTTCCTGTAGGGCAAATGGTCCCACACATCACGGTTGATCCTGAGGACACTGTGCAGCCGAAGACTTCATAAGCAACAACTGTGAGCGCTGCATGAAAATTGAATTTTCTTCAGTATTCCTCTGAAAAAATAGTGCCAAACACTGTGGTGCTTAAAATTTCAATTATCTAAAAAATGTACACATATCTATCATTTTATTTCACAATAATGTGGTTTTAAAGATAAAAAAAATTTAAGAGCTATGTTAGAACAGCATTCTTATTTCCCTAACTTTGAAATGGTCTCTGTGATCTTTCCCTTGGCACTGCTTGCCTTGATTGTATTAAAATTATTTGCATTCCCTGCCCACACATGAAGAGAGAGCTAGAGAGTCGAATCTCCCCAGTTGGAGACAATGCAGGATTAAACAGTGAGATCACGTAATTATTGTCGTGTCGTTCGAAGTGTGCTTAATCCACCCAAGGTGACCAGCGAGTGATGGGAGTCGTCTGTGAGAATGGAGATAAGAGCCTCTTCCCCACTGTACCGAGGACCACGCTGAGCTTTCTCACTCCTCACGCCGACTTGGCATCCCCCACTAGATGGTGCTGAACAAGCAGGGAGCCCTGGGCCAGGACGCCTTTCTTTCTGACCCCTCCCCCTCCCTGACCCTCACCTCTGTTCCGTGTGCTCGATGCGCAGGGAGAGCGATTGTTCAGGAATGTCTAATGATAACAAAACCCCCTTTCAAACAGTAGACAAACACGGCCAAGCAGGGTAAACATCATTAGCGGGCTTCTCCTTTGTCTGCTCTGAAAAGCAGGGAAGGCTAGCAGCCCCCAAAGCAAGCCGGTGGGCTTCTAGTTATCAGCTCAGTAACAAGGCACCTTTTGAAAACTGCAAGGATTATCTGGGGTGGAAGAGAGTGAGGGGGAGGCACGGGATAGAAGACAATTTCAAACGGGTGTGTGTTGGGAAGGAGAAATGTGAATTAGCCTTTGACAGCAAAGTGGTGGACTCAGACACAAGCAGCCTAGCTTGAGCTGGGCGTCCTCGTGTTGGAACCTGAGTGCTGAAGAGGGAAAGAAAGGAGAAGTCGTTCATGCGGAGCCGGAGCCGGAGCTGAAACAGCACCCACTTACATGGAGAGCGCCTCCAACCATCAGTGGCCCGTTTGTCAGGACCGAAATCAGTTTTTCTTTCTGATCTTTAAGACCTTTCAACTTAATGGAGGGAGAATGCGCCTAGCTGCCTACAGTACATCCTGTTAAAACAGAAGTCTGTACTTAATCGTTCCTTTGGAGAACATGAGCCTGATTTCAGGCCAGGCAAAAATTTGGAGAGGAAAAAAAAAAAGTTAGGAATAAAGTAATCTTTGTTTCCACTGTTGCGCTGGGGGGGAAAGCATGAAGCATTTGATTAATGTTGATACTTAGGTGTTCATTTTAGAGCGACTTGGGGGATCCAGTGAGTTGAAACTAACTTCTTACCTTATAAATCTTGAAGAACTTCAACTCAAAGGAATTTCACTGAAAAAAAAAAAAAAAAAAAGAAAGTTAAGCAGTGTTACTTTACTGTTATTACTGTTGCCAAACCAACAAGGGCAGAACTTCTTGACCAAGATTGGGAATCTACGATGGTTCTTTCTGCAATTGACCAAGACTGCCACAATACTTTCCTTACTGCTTCCTTGGGGAGGAAAGTCGTGGAGAAATGTGTATTGTGCTGTTGCCCCCAGAGGACTGTGTGCCGGGAAATGTGGGGTATGTGGAGGGTGGGGCTGTGTTTGGGGAGGCAAAGGACAGGGATACGTATGGTAATCGAAGTAGGGGTAACATCATCATCACAGGCCAGTGTCCTCGGGGTCTGAGGATGGAGGTGGGAAAGAGAACTGTCTGGGGAGAGAGACCATGGTCAGGAGTCGAAATGGGCATGGATCCGTGTGTATTTTCACAAGCCCTGATTTCAAAGGGAACCTTGTTTGAGGATGGAGGCCGAGGGAAGTAAAAACAAGTTGAAGAGGTGGGTGGGGCAAAACCAAATTTCACGCCTGTAGCAAAGGTCAAAGGACATGGAAAATGGTCCAGGCGCTTTTTTCACCAAGCACCATGCTGGGTAGCCACCAGCAAGGCGTCAAAGCTGCATCCTGGGGTGCGGCTCACAGACAGCTGTGTGGTCACCCCTCTGGGTGTCACTGCCTGTGAGGACACAGTTGCCTGTGGTCACTGGGTTCTCACCTCGAGAAGGAGCTGGGCAGCACGCCCACAAGTACCTCTGAGTGGCCAGGGCCGTTCTCCATTGGCAGGTGGCCTGTGAGGCGCTGGCAAGGCACTGGGAGGCCAGCGTCACGGTGGGCAGGCATTTATTGCTGCTTCAAATTGCCCTAAAACAAGAAACGTTTATTATCTCATCCAGTTTGGGGTACGTAATTTGGGACTGACGGAGCTGGGTGGTTGTGGCTCAGAATTTCTCATGAGGTTTGTCACCAAGTGGAAACAAAACTGTGAAGAGAAACAGGTTTATTTTGGGACTCAAGAATTGCAATTTGGGGGTGGGGATGCAGTGAATATAAAACTGAATTTTGCCCCCCCAGAAGGTGCTAGGGGCTTACAGATTCCTTGGGCTTACTAGGTAGTCTCACACAATTGTTCTGAGCAATTTATGCTTGGTGGTGACTCAAGCAAGAAGGAGCTGTGTCTGTGTGACATGTCCATTGCTTAGTCCCACTGGGCAGTTATCAAAACCTGTGGTTGTGTGCCAGTTCCCAGATGTGTGTTTGTAGACACAGTTTCTCTCAGACTGTATCAGCAGAGATGTAAACCACACTTCCTTGGTGGATTCTGGCTCTCTTTCTGATTCCCTTGACATGCGTAATTCCACTTGGTCTCCTCTTTCCGCAGGTTGCATTCAGGATGCCGGTGGGGGCTACAGTCATCTGAAGGTTTGACTGGGGCTGGGAGCTGCTCTTGCAAGGAGGCTGCCTGGCAAGTTGCTGTGGCTGTTGGCAGGCGGCCCTGTGGCTCACCGTGTGGACCTCTGCGTGGGCTGCTTTAGTGTATGTCCTCCCGGCATGACCGCTGCCTTCTCCCAGGGTAAGTGAGGAGCCAGAGGCAGGGTTTGGAAGTCACATGGGGTCACGTCTGCCACATTCTGTTATTGAACAGGCAGTCAATAAGTCCCATCTATGAAGAAAAGGAGGAGGATTCAGCTCTCCCCTGGAGAGAGGAGTGTCTGTTTGTGGACTTACAGTCATGTGTCACTTGATGACGTTTTGCTCAATGAGGGACCGCTTAGACAATTGTGGTCCCAGCAGGCTCTGCTGTTTACCCAGGCATTCAATAGGTAGCACCATCTAGAATGGTATCACCCACAATAGATTTCTCAGAATGTTCCCTGCTGTTAAATAAGACATGACTATATTTGAAGACTACCATGATGGTGAGGATGGTCATCAGCGGGCTGCTAGGTGGATGCCTCCCAGATGGCAGGGGCAGGGCCTAACTACCCCGTGTGTCTCCTGCAGCCCTGTGCCAGCTGTTCATTGCCTCTCTTAGGACTTTTGAAAAGAAATGGCAGCCCTGGAGCCCAGCTCAGATGAATAAAATAACCTCTGGATGGGTGAGGTCTGAAAAATATGTATTTTTAAGACTATTTATACTATTATGAGCACAGGGACATTGGAGAACCTGTGGTCTGCACCAGTGCTGGCCAATGGAAATATAATGTGAGTCCAATACATAATTTAAATTTTCCTAGTAACTACATTAAATGAGTAAAGAGAAATAGGTGAAGTTAATTTTAATAGTATAATTTATTACCTCCAGTAGATCCTAAATATCCTCATTTCAGCATGTAATCAAATATAAAAAAGTTTGGAGGTATTTAACTCTTTTTTCATACTAAATATTGCAAGTCCAGTATGCACTTCACACTTATAGCAAGTTTCTGCTTGGAATTGCCGTGTTGTAGCTGATCCGCAGCCACGTGTGTCCAGTAACGTGTTGATTGATCCACCCAAGTTAAGTCCCACAAGGGCAGCGTCCTTGTTTATTTTGTTCACTGCTTTGCATAGAACCTGGGATGTACTCAAGAAGTAAGTTTTTCTAATTTTATTTTTTAATTTTAATTTTTATACTATTTTCCTTCTGTATGGAGATAATAGCGCATTATGTAAGTTTCCGGTGTGTATCACTGAAAATCAGCATCTACATATGCGACAGTAAGCTCAAGCAAAGTCCAGTTCTATCCTTCACCATACAGTTGACCCCTTTTACCTGACTTAGCCACTGCTCTTCCCTTTACTCTCTGATAGCCACGAATTAGTCTTAGAGTCTAAAAGTTTATTTGATTTTACTTAGTTCATGCGTTTGTTTGCTCTACGTACCACGTGAGAAAGAATTCAGTGTTTGCCCTTCTCCACCCACTTACTTCACTAAGCCTAATACTCTCTAGGTCCATCCGTGCCATGACAAGTGGTGGGATTTCATCTTTTTAATGACTGAAGTAGTATTACAATGTGTAAATTTATCACATCTTTATCTATGCCTCTTAGGTTGTCCTTAGCTCTTGACTTTTGTAAATAATGCTGTAACCAACATGGTGTCGTGTATCTCTTTGGATTGGCACTTTTATAGAAGAAATATTTGTTGAATAGACTAAAAATATCCTGACATGAAATTAAAAGTAAATTACAAAATACATATTCATTCATACATAGCATTTCCAAAAAACTTCCCCTAATTTTCTAGAATTTTTCCAAAATAGGACTGAACTCTTTTATACAGTGCAGACATTATTTTTGAGAAGCCCTTTGGCTGCTTTGTTAGTCATTAGTCTCACCTGAAGAAATCACTTTTCTCTGTGTGTATGGGGTCTGACCACGAAAACCTACACACGCTTGTCAAGTTCAAAGCAGCCGAGACCCATTCTGTCCCCACCCTCTCTGCACTACTGCCTTCATTGTTATAGAGGTTCTAGCCCCTGGTCACTCCAGGGCATCCTATTTCAGGATTTTACTGGTATGTAGCAGGACAGTACCTTGGAGCTCCTAACCAGTGGTGTGGTGGGAAGCCAGAGCCTGCCCTCATCTATCTGTTTCAAAAACAGTTTCAGCACACTGAAAGAAGCTTCTGGGGCTTTTCATTCTTCAGGATTGAAAGAATTTTTAGATTTACAAACAGGTTGAAAACATTGCTGACACCAGAGAAAAAAGAGAGTGGAACTCAATTTTCACAAACCATACATTTAAAAAATAATATCCAGAAACTGGTGAACTAGTAAGTTTTAAATTGTAAATTTAGAGGCCTGTTTTTGCTCCAAATTGTATGCTTTAAAGAAATCAATATGAGCATGCTTTAGAAAATACTTCAGTAAAACCATGTAACAGAGCTCATAAAGCCAGTAGTCCGAATTCTTCCATTTTTCTGTTCACGTATGTATGCAGACACATTCATTTGAAATGGGAACTTACTTTACCTCCTTTTCCTAATTATTTTTTCCTGCTAACTGCATTATTGTGACTATATTCTCATGACTCAAGAGAATAATTTACCTCATGGTTTTGGGTTGGATGCCTCGAATTTCATGGCAATGTGTAGTCTTATTTGAGTGCTGCTTATCATAAATGTACATTAAATACACCTGGACAATAAAATAAAAAAAAGGGGAGTGGGCAGCCTGGTCTCACTGGCTAATATGCCTTGGACCTCTTAACCAGTAGGATGGTGGAAAGCCAAACCCCAAAATGGCTAATATGTAAAGACTGCAGGAGAACTTGAGCATAGTTCATGAATTTTAACGTTCCACCAATGAGGGTGTTTACCACAACACGTTACTATCCATTGTGGAGTGTGCACTTGGTAGACATCCTGCAGTTTTTCCGGGAGCTAGGAGTTTCCACAGGCATGCAGTTAGAATTCTCTGCCAAGTGCAAAGACACTCCAAGTTGTCGGTCAGAGTAGTCAGCCTAGTATGCAGCAGCTGATCCACACAGAGTAGCGATGAAGACTGCATCTAGCAAACAGCACAGCATGTGGAGCTATTCCTGGACATCTGGGCCCAGAGTTTGAGGGGATCTTTTTGGGGTCCTGGAGACACCAGTAACTGATGGAATAGCAGGTAGGTGGTGGTGAGTCAACACAACTCCCACTTACATCAGATGAAAAAGTAAATTCCATGTGCTAGGAGGAGAATAAAAAAAACAGTGATTCTATGCTGGCAGCCTTTTAGGAAGTACTCCATACTCCCAATTTTGTAGATTTTAAGTTATTAAGGCCTCAAAGCAAGTATTTCTTAGTGACGTAATGCTGGGCAAGTCACTTGAACTCTCAAATGTGGTTCTCTCATTTTAAAAGTGAGGATCACAGTGCTTGGCTAGTAGAGCTTTAGTAATAATAAAACAAGATAATCCATGCAAAGAATTTAGGGCATGATGTGGCACACAGAGGACACTTATACCTGGTAACCATTGTTATTATTTGAAAGAGATCTGAGAAGAAAGAATTTGTCAAATCTACGTAGTGTCTCACACAAGACAAATACATTCACCGATGTATCAAAGTCAAAGAATGTACCTGTGGGAGGAAAAGTTGGCCCATGACTTAGTGGGAACAGATTCCCACCAAATCCAGACTAAAGCAGTGTTCTCCATAGACACGACACTACAGCATACATCAGATAGGGCGGTGGAAGTTGTTCAGAGACAATAGTTTACCTCCCACGTGGATTCCATTTAGCTTGTTAAATGCTAAAAGTCAGATCACAGTCAGGTACTGTACCTTATTTTCTGTCCCCGAGGGCATGGTAACCAACCAGGGCACCTGGCCATGAGGCAATGATCCATGTTGTAACGGCAGCTCTGACAGTGCACATCCGTGGCGTCTCTCCAGGGATGAACAAGCCTTTTCGTTTCCTGTTTAGTTTCACATGAGTGATGAGTATTTATGGAGGAGCAGGAGATAATTTTTTTTTTAGGTTGAGCAACCAATTGTGGGTTTTGAGGCCCATTCCATAAATAACAATAAAACTAATAGCTTGACTAATCGAAGTTCCTCCCTGCACTTTAGCTGTGTGACCAGTCAGGGCAGTGTCACTGCACTGGGCCGTGGGGGCATGTCACAAACACAGCCCCCCAGGCCACCCTGGGACTCTCCCCAGTCTTCTCTCTGATGTCGCCAATTTTATTGTTTGTTTGCAGACATTTCCTGCAGCTTCTGTATCTCATCTGCCACAAGTGATTGGACTTGCTGTTGGCTAGTTTAGGGCCTGCTGCCATGCCCTAGTTCCATCACCCTTCCAAGTTTTCCTACTTCCTTTTGGCTACAACTCTTAGTGATCAGAGTTTTCTCTGTAAGGCCAGTGTAGCTGACTTAAGACCATACAAAACAATTGTGAGTTGCTTCTGGTCTGATATGGCATATGGGCCACCCCCAGTTCTTGTCTTCCAACAAAGTGTTAAAAGACACTCCAGTAGAATCTCCTAAGTAGTTTCTAAAGTCAACTCCCTGTTGAAAGTTTTTAGCCATGGGTAGTCCTCCTGCCTTAACCCAAGGTGGGAAGAGGCAGCATCTTCAAGGTCCACTGTTTTCTCACATCTGCACAGCATAGATTCAGGCAACCAGGTTACACGGAGCTAATTATATACATAGCCTAGATATTGGCCCAGAAGAGAGCCATATACATGTACTTCTATTTATGTATGGATTAAGTATGTGTTCCCCAGTTCAAGTTGTATTTCTATTGGTGTCAAAAATGAATTACTAAGAATGAAAAGAGCCACATGAATAAATGGTTTGGAAAAATTTGGAAACAATTCGAAAAATTGTCCATTTCATTCATCTTCAGACTAGGAAACACTGCATTCTTGGCATCTATTCCCAAATTACTCCTTCTCAGTAGGATCCAGTTTCCAGTAGTAAATCTTATGGTTCCACGGGTGACACACGTGACCTGGGATAAGCCAATTATTGCATTCCTTCTGGTCACAGTAATGGCGCCAAAGTGTGCCTGCGACTCCAGCTGCTCCAAGCAGAAGGAATCTCAAGAGTTTTGCTGGGAATTACGGGGCAAACAAACTCTTTTTGGGAGTTGCAGGCAGCCATCATGGGGCCAGTAGTCAGTGATGCAGAAATCAAGGAAAGCAAAGCAGAAAAACAGATGGCAAGAAAACAGGTTCCTTGCTTGACATTGTTTAGCCATTGGATCCAGCCCAGCCAGAAATAAGCCCCATCTCTGCACTGTTACATAAGCCAAAACATTTCCTTTACTTTTAAGCTATTTTGAGTCATATTTGTTTTCATATACAATTGAAAGTATCCTCAATAATATGTTGTAACGATGCCTGCCACACAGTAGGTACCCAATACATATTTGTAAAATGAGAGAACAAGTGAATAGCTCTATAATGCTGAAGTTTTGATAAAGACTGAAAATATCTTTGTTTCACCTGTACTTCAGCAATAACTAAAACAAAAAAAAAAGTAGAAAATCGAAACTAGAGAAAATTATCAATATTTATGAAATTTTTGGTGGGTGGTAGATTCAGTCAACCCAATTGAGGTTCTTCTTTCTGGATGCATAACTTTTGAACGCAGAATGATATTATTTATTGGGAATAAGTATCCTGGCCACTAAAGTCACAACCTTTCTGCAGTGTTCTCTAATGTCTTCCTTTCTTCCTTTTCAGCCATAGCAATTATTATCTTTCAACCTATCATATATTTATTTTGTTATTTTACTCTGGCTCTGTGAGGTTGGGGATCTTGTCTCTTTTACTCACTGCTTTATTTCCAGCCACTAGAATGATGCCTGATGTATACTGAAATCATTATATATTCCACAAATAAGTTATAATGTTCATTAGCAACCAGCAGTAAAGCCAGATTGCATATAAATAAACATTCAAAATGACCCAGGTCTTCTGCCTCAGTTCACTGAGGGAGTTTCCTTAGGAGGCAGGGACATCCTAGAACTAAACGTTAGGGCGGTCTCACTCCACTAGATGAAGGACTCAGTTTCATTTTGTTCAAAGACCCCCAGAGAGACACAGCTGGTGGAGACATGCCTGTGTTCTCTCATCTAGATTCTTGTCACGGCCATCTTGGACACACCCTGTTAGGCTCCTTAGAGCCAATCTCTGAACATCTGAAAAACTTGAGACTAATAAAATAAACACAGGTGGGGCCGGAAATCCCGCAGTTGCACTTTGGTCTAGGAGTAAGCAATTCCTTTAATTCATCTGTCACTTTTCAAAATAATCAAGCAATGTAGCAAAGTTTAAGAAAGGTCTCAGGAAATATTTAATCAGGATCTTATAAAATAGAGTGAGTAAAGGCTCATAGGTGAGTGTATAACTAGCACATACATTTACAGTGGAGATGCAGTCACCATGACCTAGAAACCCTTTATTTTCCCAAAGCAAATGAAGAGATACATTTTAAAACACTGCTGAAGTTTACTGTATCCTAAATTCTGTCTGGACTTCGCTAAGTTTTCCCAAATTAAGGGCATTCTTGTTTCTGTAGAAACTAATGCACCTTGAAGGGAAAAGTAGAGGAAAACTTAATGGCCAAAGTGAAAAAGATGAGAAAGCTGTGTCACAAGTTGAATATGTGAAGGGGGAGTTTGTCATAGAATTTTCCCTGTAATTTAAGTAACTTTTCATTGGAGAAAAATATCTTCAAGGAATAACTCATGAATAGTCTGGCATATCTTTATTGTCAGGAATGAATTCCCTCCTGAACTTTGAGTACCAGAGCATACTGGAAAGTAGGCAGATCAAGTGAAATGAAAACGGGACTCCTTTATTAGACAGTGACAAGCACTTGATTGTTCATTCTGACTTATGAATGCTTTGCAAGCACATACATAACTTACATAAACTCAGAGAGTGAGTTCTGATAGTATCAGGTGATGGTTATCTATAATGGCACGTAAGTCCTGTAGCACTGCAGCAGATTATTTAGAAGGGTCACTTGGGTGAGTTTTTTTTTTTTTTTTTTTACCATTTCATGACAACAAACTTGTAACAAATATTTACAAATCCATATGGACAGCTACATGCGTAGGAGCAATATGGGGAAAGAAAGCATGACCAGAACGGCTGTGTGGCCTTGGGATCTAACTACCAATAGGAACTCTTTTTTTTTTTTTTAAGATTTATTTATTTATGCATACAAGAACTGGGGTACAGGCCAGAGGTGCAGGGATGAGAGGATTCACCAGAGACAGAGTGGGGAACAGAACAGGAGGCTCTACTGAGATACACTGCTGAGGGGGGCAGCAGGCCAGACAGGAGAGGTCTGCTGTGCCATGTGGGTAGCTCCCTGGCTGGCTGGGGATCGAACTTGTGCTGCAGAGGCTGTGGATAACTTCACAGTCCTGTGCTTTCCCCTTGTGCCACCAGGGAGGCCCCGGTAGGGATTCTTATGTCATTTCAGTGAGCTTAGTTGGCTGGCAGGAATTCCAGCTCTGAGCACTTTTGTGGAACAGGACAGGGCAGGAGCAGTTGGGAAAGGCGGGAGTACAAATGCCTGTGACTTATTCTCTCATCTGTCATACCTGGGCACTCCTTGCAGTACACATCCTGGGACTGAATCTGTATTCCAGTCTTCATGCAGGAGACTTTTACATTGAGTGGGACTGAGGGGGTGATACTCCACAGCATACAAGGATCCTGGGTTCATGAGGGCAGAGAGAACGGACAGAAAAGATCTGTCCTAGGCTCTTACCAGGACCCGGGACATCTGGGTGGGGTACATGCTGGCAAGCTGTCATATTGGCATAAGTGAATTTCCATCAGATTCTTGGTTGATTGAGTTGGTGGGAATGACACCCTCTCCAATTAACTTAAATAGAAAAGCAGTAAAAGAAATGTGGTAAGAATGAAAGGGTGGAAGAAGCATTTTATATCTTATCAAGATATTGGTCTCAGAATATTTTGACAAAAATACACTTTATATTCTGAAGGCAGTGGAGATGGACAAGACAAGGGTGAATGGAGGCATGGTAGGCTACGGCTTGGTGTAGTGCAGGAGGCAGCAGGCCTCCCGGGCCCCACCAAACCTTTACTCTGTCTGGACTCCCTGTGACTTTCTGTCATGGTCTCTTCCTCTCGCAGCCACTCTGCCTCCCCTCCCTGCTACACCATCCTCTGAGACACTGCCCCTGTGTGTTCAGGCTCCAGGCTCAGGTGTGCACACTTAGCACGCTCATGGCCACACTCCAGGTGTCCACCAGCACGCACGTGTGCCCTGCGCCCAGCTCCCAAGCGCCTCCTGCATTCAAGGGCATAGGCGATAGCCACAGAGGCCTGTAGTGCAAAAGCCTGAGCAATCTTCATTTACCCTACACTTGGTAAGAAATGAACCCCCACATCTCAGGGGCTCAACACAGTGAGAGCCGGTTTCTAACTCATTCCAGGTCCAGCACCAGTCAGCAGGGACTCACCTCCTCCCAGAGACTCCAGAATCTAGGGTCTTGCTTCTTCATGATTCAGTTCTCTCCGCACGTGACTCCCAAGGCTGCAGGTGAGAGAAGAGGAAGGCACTTGCCTCTCCGGTGCCTCCGCCTAAACATGCTGCATGCTCTTTCTCCTCACAGCCCTGACCCAGCTCTGAGAGTCGAGACATGGAGAGAGCCTGCAAATATTCAGGAACCAGCAACAGCACTGGCCAGAGACGCTAGAGGAATTGACAGAAAATGGGTGAGTAAGTAAATGGGAATATTGAAAAATGCAAGTGATCACAGAGCAGGAGACCAAGGCTGGCCTCCTCCCCATGGCCGACCTAGGGCTGACTTTAATCTCAGTTTCTATGTGGTGGTTTTCCCTCTTTAACTACATGTGGAAATTTGGGGGAAATGTTGAAAAGAATAAATAGCTCATATATGTAATTCTACTCCCTCCACAGGACGACAGCATACTTGATTTTCTTGCTCTTTTTTCCCCCTTTTTTATATTAATTTTTAATTTTTTACATCATTGTTCATTTTTAAACAATATTTGCTTCCCCTCACCTCCTCAGGTGTAGACTGCATAGTTTCCTTAACCAATGTCCCCGTGCACCATCACCTTAGTCTCCTGTGCTCCTCCCTCCCTGCCTCGGATCCCTCTCCCTCCTCCTCCCCTGCAGGATGTCTCTGATTTATAATTGTCTGTTTTTTGCTTTGTTGTATTTTGTACTGTTATTATTTTTTTTTACACTGATGTCTCATTTGGTTCCCTGGTATTCCTGCTATAAGTGAAACCATCCGATAGTTTTCTTTTTCCTTTTGGCTTATTTCACTGAGCATCATTCCTTCTAGTTCTATCCATGTTGCTGCGAATGGCATGAGTTTATCTTTTTTGATTGCTGAATAATATTCCATTGTGTATCTGTGCCACATCTTCTTGATCCAGTCATCTATTTTTGGACATTTGGGTTGTTTCCAGGTTTTACCTCTTGTAAATAGTGCTGCAGTAAACATAGGGGTACAGGTGTTCTTTTGAATCAATGTTTTTATGTCCTTTGAGTAGATCCCTAGTAGTGGAATTGCTGGGTCGTATGGTAGCTCCATTTTTAGTAGACCGAGGAGCCTCCAGACAGCTTTCCATAGTGGTTGGACCAGTTTGCACTCCCGCCAGCAATGTAGGAGAGTTCCTTTTTCACCGCATCCTCGTCAACATTTGTTGTTGCTTGTTTTTTTGGTATATGTCATTCTTACTTGTGTAAGGTGGTATCTCAATGTGGTTTTAATTTGCATTTCCCTGATGATAAGTGATGTTGAACATTTTTTCATATGCCTGTTGGCCATTTGCATTTCCTCTTTGGAGAAATGTCTTTTAAGTTCTGCCCATTTCTTGACTGGAATGTTTATTTTGTTTTTGTTGAGTACTGTGAGTTCTTTGTATATCTTTGTGATCAGTCCCTTATCAGTTGACTGGAGTGCAAAGATTTTTTCCCAATCAGTGGGGTGTCTGTGTTTTGGTTAATGTCACTTTTGCTGTGCAGAAGCTAACAAAAGAGGTGAAAGACCTATACAAAGAAATTTATAAAATACTGTTAAAAGAAATAGAAGAAGACACAATGAAATGGAAAGACACCCCTTGCTCATGGATTGGAAGAATTAGCATTATTAAAATGGCCATCCTACCGAAAGCAATATACAGATTCAATGCTATTCCAATCAAAATCTCAAAGGCATTCTTTAAAGAAATAGAACAAATGCTGATGAAATTCATATGGAACCACAAAAAACCGCAAATAGCCAAACCCCTACTGATGAAAACAAAGGAAAAAAGGAAGTATCACACTTCCAAACTTCAAGCTATACTACAAAACCATAATAATTAAAACAGTTTGGTAATAGAACAAAAACAGACACACAGACCAATGGAACTGAATAGAGAGCCCAGAAATAAAACCACACTTATATGGACAACTGATCTTTGACAAAGGAGCAAAGAATATGCAATGGAACACGGACAGTTTGTTCAATAAATGGTGCTGGGGGAACTGGACCACCACATGCAAAAAAAAAAAAAGAAACTAGACCACTACCTCTCACCATGCACAAAAATCAACTCAAAATGGATAAAAGAACTGGACATAAGACCTGAAACCTTGAAATATATAGAAGAAAATATAGGTAAAACACTACAAGACATACATTGCAATAACATCTTTAAAGACTCATCACCCAAAGCAAAGAAAGTCAAGGAAAAGATACACACGTGGGATTTTCTTGCTCTTTAAATTTTTGTTAGGTATGGCCATGACTCCCTCCTCTGAATTCTGATTATTTCTGTAGACATCCTGAGGGGATCAGACTGGTGGGAAGCAGGGACATGTGGAGGTGCAGTCCGAAGGTGTGGGGGTACAGCGGTGCTATGTGTGCCAGGGCTGGATGGGGCCACTGAAGGCAGGTGATGACAGTACAGCTGGGAGGAGGGCCCCGCTGCTACTGTGAGGGACCAGGGTGGAAACTGGGGCTTTTCCGGAGGATTGGGTAAGGGAAAAAACAAACAGAGTGAGCTGAAGATCCAGGAGGACTAGGACTAAGATAGAGTTGCCAGAAATCAACAGGCTCTTCTGAATCCCAACAAATGAGAGCCTGGTGGGCACATTTCAGAAGGCAGCGTCTCTGTGAGATCTTCCAGAGAAGGGACTCTGGAAGCTGAGTGGACAGATGAGTCAACCAGACAGAATATGCATTTGTTTTTCCAGAAAACAAAATATAGCCTTGGTTGAAAGACAAAAAAACCTTAGCTAGGATAAAGACAGGATAGTGAATACAAAGGACTGGGTTTAGAGATGCGGAGAGGGACACAGAGAAACAGGGGCCGTTTAATGTTTGTGGGGTGGAACCAAGTGCTTTAAACCTGTGCCAACCTAATTGAGTAACCTGAAGCTTGGCGCATGTAGCTCACCTAATCTCGGTGTCACCTGTCCTTTGAGATTCCCTTGCCCTGTGGTACAAACAGCTTGTCTGCCTGAATGGATTGTGTGTTCTAGTTCAGTGGCTGCAGTGGGGCGGGGGCATGACTGCAGGAGAGAACAGGGGTGAGGCCAGAGCTCCAGGGAGCGCCCTGTTCAAAGAAAACAGTCCTGATCCCCAGGTGACGTCAAGACAAATATTCCGAGAAACAGCAGAGAGAGTCTGCTGTTGCAGATGATGCTTTGCGCTAGAGGGCTGTTTCAGAGGTTTCCTCTCTGTCGTGTTGGGGAGCACCCTGTTCTGAGGAAGTCGCCTGCTGTGACTACATAGCTGGCTTCTCAGTGAGGCTGGGTGGGTTGACCGAGGAAGAGTGTGCTAGTCCTGCTCCCACCACGGAGCTGTGGATGGTTCCCGGGCCCTCGGAACATCCCTAATGCTATCACCGGAAAGCTGGACTCTCAGTCTTTAGCAGGGATCTTGGCAAGCACAAGGGTGGGCAGTTCAGATTTAGTAGGTGATGGGAAACCCCCTGGGAGTGGGCAGTGGGAGGGGTGGGGGAACTTAGCCCGTCAGAGCAGGCAGGTAACTGAAGGCAAAATGATCCTGATGGAAATCCCAGTACTTAGAAATCAAATACTTTAAACCAACACTGTGGACAAGCAGTCCTTACAAACTTGAGAAAATTGCAATAGTGCTGTTAATAGTGAGTTGGCGTTGAATTTATAGCACCTACAACCCAGTGACTGAGGAAGCTAAAGGGCTCAGGAAGTTGTGATTTGCTCAATTTTGCACGATTATTAAAAAGGTGGCACAACGTGTTAAGATATGTAAATGATCCGTCACTAAGCTGCTAGGGCACTGCTGGTGTTCGGAAATTAGGGCTGCCTTTCAACCCAAAGACAGCCCCTGCTGAAAATAGCTAATCCCTCTCCCAAATTTACGTGAATCGAACCCACCAAACACCCATAAGATGGCTGCCTCCAAAAAGATCATTACAAAACAACTCCTCCATCCATAAGTTCGGTTTAGAAAAAGAGATTTTGTGACGTACACATTGGCCATGTCTGCAAGCAGGACAGCTTTTGCCTCTCTAGGCTCTGAAGCCATCTGCATCCTGGAATTTGCCCACGCCCGTACATTACCACCAACGTGCTGTCTAGAGTCCACTCAGCCAGATGCTGCCATAGGCAGCCCCTAGAATGGAGCTGGAAAAAGATAGCTACTGATTCTGCCATTTATCGTGTCCTCATCCATGCCAGACCCTTGACATTCAGGATCTTATTTTATCCTCAACAGCCTTGTGAGCGACCTCACCTTCCTTATAGCTGAAGTGACTGAGGCTCAAAAACATTAGTGACTGTTGATTTGCTCCACCAGCAAATGCTTAGCTGAGACTTGGAGCAGGACCATGTTCTTTTCACGATGTGACATTAAGTCTTGGCTTCACTCACAGCTGCACAATCTAGGATACATCTGGAGTTCAGCTCAGCTGGTTCAGGCCTCAGGGGTGAAAAGGCTGATCTGCGAGAATCATTCTCTAGTTATCAAGGCTTCTTTCTCCATGTGGATGGCATTTGTATGGATGTCCCAGCCTTGAGGCAGCTCTGTCCAGAGAAATAACCTTGTTTACCATAGTCCCCTCATATCCTTGGGGGATATCTTTCAGTTACTGCCTGAATTTGCACATAGTACTGAACCCTAAGTTCCCAGCGTTGAATAGCATTGTCTCATCCAACATCATTTGGTTATAACATTGATGAGAAATAAACAACTCCCGGCAGGGGCCACTACTATGCAGAGGGAGCTCGTTCTCCCCACATCTGTGTGGGTTTTCTGGTGTCTCTGGTTCCCTCTAACACCCCAAAAATATGCACACGCATTTCATTGATGTGTCTCAGTGGGTCCAGTTGGAGAGAGAGAGAGAGAGAGAGAGAGAGAGAGAGAGAGAGAGAGACAGAGAGACAGAGAGACAGAGAGAGACATTCACTCTGCAATGCAAGGGTGACCTGTCCAGGGTGGGTCCTGCCTTGACCTTGAGCTCTCAGGAGAGGCTCCGGTCCCCCATCACGCTGAATTGGAATAAGCACATTGGGAAATGAGTGAATGCGTGAAAAAAAGGATTGTTGAATATTAGAAGGGTTTGTTTTGAAGTGTGGTGATGTTTGTGTGACCAAAAATTTGCCATGACTCTTACTTATCTCTATCAAATCGGTTTTGTGTGCATTGTTTCACTTAAAGGTGCAGTTTCCAAGAACCCGTAAATGACGTACAGTGAGGATTTACTGCATC